GTGGCACTGACAGATCATGCAACAATAGTGAAAAAACATGCCGACAAAATCGCCATTCGATGGAGCAATTATTCTTTGGGATCGGCATTTTTCAAACAAACTTAGTCAGCGGATACAACTAAGGACGTTACTGTATGAGGTAAGAATCAACAGCTTTTTATCACATTTACACAATACTTTGTGAATACAAGTCATGAACAAATCTTAAATATGGCAGGGGATGTGTTTACTTTTTTTAGTTTTGATTTTGAGCAGCAAATCTGGAGTTACATATGCTCACCAGGAATGCATAAGCAGAATTGCACAACTTTTCACTTGAAAGAATAGTGGCGATCTTGGGATATTTTTCTGTTCAATTTTCAAATAGTGTATAAATTCAATACACTATCTTCAGCATGTTTAGTGCCACTTTTATAAGTAACCACGCCCCCGGCCAGGCCACGCCCTTTCCGCTTTTTTCATCACTCACCATTGCCATGTATGGGCGATGGTGTAGTTCAGCTTGTGTGTGAATTTGGTTGATGCGCTTCGCCTCACTGGCCGTTCCTGCTTTACAGTGATTCTTGTAATTTGTAATTTGGCCAGAAAAAGTTGACTAAATTTGAGATTGGCCAAAAGGATGTCGATTTTGCGGCGTAGGTGGTCTAACGTGATTTTGGTGGGGTTAGTCGAGGTGCAGGCAGACAGATTGGTGCTCTCCTTTGATCCTCTCCTCTTTCATCTAGAACTGCCTCAAACAACAAAGCTTATGAGGGAAAAGTGGTTAAGATTGCACGACTGTCCGTGTTTTTATGTTGTGTGTTGTGTTTATTATTTACTTTATGTTAACTGTTTTGTAAAGCGCTTTGTTACAGCTGCAGTTGTTGTTAAAGTACAATATAAATTAGGATGTATTGTATTGTATTGTATTATATTGTATTGTATTGTATTGTCCATGGACGGGTGTGGGACAGCGGTCTATCAAAATTTTAGATAGATTGTCCCACACGTGAAAAACTTTTTTTCAGAGTAGGTGAGAGCGAGAAACATGACTGATGTCTCAACTGACCAGTATGAGGGCCCCGAGTTGCTGAAATTATAATCTCGCCACTGTGTCTAAAAACAAATCAAATAAAAAATTAATACATTCTTTCGATTTCAATATTATCCTTTTTTAAATTTTGCATTAAAGGTGCAGCATATGATGTTGAAGCTGCAAGATTTAAATGTTAGCCTCACTTCACTCACAAGAACCCCCCCCCCAACTAATATCTAAGACACAATAAATTTTTTGTTTCTCAGACATTTTTTTTTTCACTTAGTTTTATTTTCTTTGATGTTGTTCGAGGAACATTGTCATTGATTGCTCTGCTGCACTCACTTCTAATGACCTTACATAAGGTGCTGGAAACGGTGAGCCGAACCATGGTGAGGTGCCAAAGCTGATAACTGGTAAACAGGATGTGTTGAGCGGCCTATCATCGCATTGGTCTCCTCTCACATGGAATTACCTCCTGATCCTGTTAACTACTGAGGGAGCGAGTCCTTGAGTGTTTGCACAAGCTCTCCTTCTTACCTTTTCCCCGCATGTCGATTTAGAAGACACGCTCGAAGCGACATACACGATGTTTAAAAACAAAACTCTCAGATTGATTCGCCATTGATTTGAACCCTTTCATGCACAAATAATGATAACCTCCATGAGGATTTTTTTTTCTCAAGTGTTTTTATTAGTCTTTAGGCATGACGAATTAAAAAAAAAAAAAAAGAATGGCAGTGGATGGCAACACACATGAGGGTCCATTGTAGTGGTTGATGCACAACTGTGACATTAAGATGAATTAATATAAGAGAAATTAACATTTGAAAAGCCGTCCACTCTCGTAACCGCTGTCCCTGAAAGGGTTAAATCAATGGAAGAAGACCACTTGGGACTTGGAACAAAACCTGCAAGCTCATAATAAATTGTTCATGTCTGTAACAAGGAAAATGAATTGTGTCCGTCAGCCAAAACTGACCCCTGACACTGAATATGTGTTGGATTCACTGTTACTCTCAAAGTATTCAGAAATTGGTACTCTTCTTTTTTTTTCATCCTTTTTAGAGTTTTTTTTTTTAATTGGTGTGCGCAAAGCTCTTCATGTATGGCATTTGTGTTAAATATGTCTTGTTCTTTTGATGTCTTTTTTTTTTTTTTTTTGCAGTGGGAGTGTTCCTGGTTTCTCATCTTGTGTAGCTCCTTTCTCCTGCTTCTTTTTTGGGTTTACTTCTGGTTGGTGGCTCGAAATGATTTTGACGAGTTCAACTGGTGAGTCATCTTTTTAACATCTGTATTAGGATGTGAGCAGAAAGACCGACTGTTATGTTGTTGAGACTTGATAGAAAGGCACTGGTCTGTGCACCGTCACTGTATCGTACACGCCACAAAGAAGTCAAGGGTGCATCCATCCCTCCATTTTCTATTCTGCTCTCCTGGTTTGGGTCACAGATGAGCTGGAACCTAACCCAGCTGACTTTGAGCAAGAGACGGGTTATCCCCTGGACTGGTCACCAGACCATGGCGGGGCACATATACACAAACAGCCATTCGCACTCATGCTTTTGCAATGTGGGAGGAAGCTGACACCTATAAACATAGAGAGAATATGTCAACATAAGACCTAGCAACGTGAAAACAAATCGTCAACGCGTTGAGTACCTAGCCTTCAAAAGATAAACCTTTGAAGAGCATGAGTGTCATCCGAACGGCTCTGGAAAAAAATGGAGACTAGCCTGGAGTCAGTCCAGAAAGTACGATAAAAGGGAAATAAAGTCTCCACCCACCACCTTTAAAATAGTTTCTGTAAAGGTACAGCGTTGCCTTTCCACCTGTAGCCAGGCACATTTGAAAAGCACCATGGGGGAACAGATTGACAACTGTTATTGCACTTTTCAGTTGGGGATCAAATTGGAGTTACACTATATAACGATTCTTTCCTTTATTCTTCTGAGAAGCGTCAAGATGCATCAATCTTTAACCTGTCGAAATTCCAGGTCAGTGTACAACCGCTCGGGTGAATGGAGGGATGAGACCATTCCCATTCTGACAATCACCACTGTGGGATTCAGCTATGTTTTTGTCTTGATGGTAAGCGTGCCTTTTAAGATTGAAAAATAAAAAGTTATATACAGTATATATATGAAGTCCTTTTTCTTCATCAGATCTTGGCATTCTTCCACATATCCTTGGGACAACAACTTAATCTCTACTGGCTCCACAAGGTGCAGTGAGTTTGACCTTTGCTGTCATTTTTCTTCTTTGCAGGTTTTTCTAGTGACCTCATCATTGTGTGTCTCGTTTTCACAGATCGGCGTGCTGGCAACGCTCCTTACTACTATCTCTGGTGTTGTGTGTGTTGATGACATCTGGGTAGATGAGTGGGACGTCCTGCTCGTGTCGCTGCAGGTTTGTTTAGACTTCAAACAACGTCACTGTTGGATTGCACACGGTAAAACCTTTGAACTCAAATTGCATCTTCTTAACACATCACATTGTCGGATAGGGGTGGGTGTCAGTGCAATACATCCTGATTTTAAACTTGCCCTTTGTTAAAGTTTGAAAGTAGTTTTCCTGTTCACTTTTAGTGCTCCTTTTTCAAAGGTTCCTTAATCATACTCAACATAATTTTGATACACATTATCAATACAATGATTTATTCTAGCCATAAAAAAAAAACAAACCTGTCACTCATTTTATAATTGTGTTCTTATGTTAGTCCACAGCGCCATTCCTTCACATTGGTGCTCTCACAACAGTCACAGCTCTTAGCTGGCTGGTCGCTGGTTATGTGGTCCGCAGAGAAAGATCCAGTAAGTCTTCTCTTCATTTTGACCCTGTTGTCAATTCCTCACTCAAACAACATTACATCCTACCATTAGTTTTAGATGGACTTTTCAGGCTTTATACAGTTCCTTCCTAATGAAAGATCGATTACTGTCATACTGGGAAAATATCGATTACTGGGAAAATAATATGATCCCTCAGTCTTATGCCAGATATCCAGATCTGTATTAAATCGGATGCGCTTTTCCTCTTCAATGTTGTAGAAATCAGAAAGTATATACTATTGTGAATAATCTTGCCCCGCAATTGGATGGTAACGTGTCTGTGCCGAAAGTCAGGTAGGAAATATGCTCCAGCTCTTCCTCCGCCATAATGAGGACAATATTTATATGAGTGTTAAATGATAAATCCTGGTCAGAAGTGATACAAGAGTTTCTCATTGCGCTGCTCAAGGTGAATGTGAAAGAGGATAAGTAGATTAGAAAGTGGACAGATGAACAATGGCTCTGAATGATTACTCGATGACTAACATAGGTGTCGATTAATTTTCTAATCGATTAGTTATTGATTAAGAAAAGGCTACTCATGTGGTCCTTGGGGGTTACTTGGTGCCCACATGCACGACGTTGATGACCCCTGACTAAAGAGTACTGGTCCAAGTACGTACCCTTGTGGGACACCATGAAGTTTTATGTGCATCAAGTGTTTGTTACCGATATTTACAAACTCTAGGTGATCTGACAAGTACTGTATGATGCCAAACACATTTGGGTCAAGGGTGTGTTTTTTTTTTTTTCAAATCAGGGTTAATAACAGTTATTTTAATGAGTGCAGTACATATTCTGCCATGAAGGATGTATTGATCACTTTGAGGACAGCTATGTCAATCAGTAGTAGCACATCCATAATTTAAAAAAGTAGGAATTTGGTTGAGTAGGCCAGTTGAGATGTTTGAGGAGGAAATCGTTGGGGTCAACTCAGAGTCGAATCGAACAAAAAAGGCGAAAATGTACAGTGGCAATTTTTTCCCACCAGTGGTTGCTGTATTCGGGGGCGTGGGTGGGGGGGTTGATCGAATTTTTTTTCTTTCTGTCATAGTGAGATGATTAAGATGGTCTTTTTTCATTTTTACATCAGAAATTCTGGTATTCAAGTGGAGATTGAGTTTTCATGTCCACTGTTAACTCCACAATTGTACTTGTGTAGGATTGAAACAGTTCAACAATCCCTCTTGCCAACACACGCCAAACTTCTCGAGTGTGTCAATTTGTTTTGTTGATGAAGCATCATATAAAGCTGGCACCTCTGTCTTAGATTTCCAGATGATGGTGTTAATCACCTACATCATCATCCTCGTCGCCCTTTATTTGGCTCCGCTCTCATTCTCCTGCCCCTGTGTCATGGACAGTCACAGCCTCAGACCTCGCCCAGACGTCATTGGTCGACGGGGAGCGCCGATGGTGAGTTGGTCTATTGCCAGCCCTCTCCGTGTAATCCAGTTAGCTGTCCAGGTGACTCAATGAGTCCAATATATTTGTGATCGTGAGCATGAACGTCTACTTTGTACTGTTGTCTCACAGCTGAGCAAATGTTCTTCCAAACCGCTAGGGTACAAAAAGCACCTTTCAGGCTACCACCTTGTCACCCAAAGTAACAGTCTCGAACAAGAAATTCACGAGCTACCAGATTTTGATTTAGCCTGGTGGATGTTCTGATAATACACAATTTGGTTGAAGCCACAGATTTTGAATGTAACTGTAAAAAATCATGATGTCGGTTTATTCAAATGTCACCGGTGAATGACACTCATCTTTCTCTGTGCTCCAGCTGGCCCCAGAAAACACCCTGGTGTCCTTCAACAGAGCCCTACAACACGGCGCCAGCTCCCTGGAGGCCGACGTCACTCTTAGGTCATTTATCTACCGTTTCTGACATTTTCATCCGGACTTGTTCATAATTAATGAATCCGGCGCACTCCAGTTCCATATGAAAAGTAGCTCAGATGTGACAGGTTCTATGGTTCCGTTTCTTTTCAAATATGTTTGTCTCAACCCTTTCATGCACCAATAATGATAACCTGTAACCTGATAGCGGATGTCCACTGTAGTAATCCCTGTCCTTGAAAGGGTTAAGAACTGAAAGACTGTGTTTATAGTTTACTTGTGTGTTGGTGAGGTGAACTTCAAATACCTATGGTGGTAAACCATGGATCCACCTCCCACGGGACGTAACCCAGAACAGGAGGGAAGGCGCCGCAATTGGACTCCGAGACATAACCTTGCGTCGTCACCGGAGGGTCTGTTTCATTTGGCCGGAAAAGAGCCTTTAAAGGGGCATAGACGTTGTATCTCACGCCGGAGATGCAGCCAATGAAGCCTGGAGCATTGTGCCTCTGGATTTCGTAGTCGATGTCGCCGACCTCTGAGAGACACAGGGCGCAGTCAAAATGCAGTTCTTTCGAATTGGAGCCGATATGTTCTGAGTTTAGGATTGAGAAACGTACCCATCACTCTGCCCAAGAACATGGACTTTGGAGAGTCAAATCTTGCATCCTCCACTAAAGTTATCTTTTCAACAATGGGCTCCATAAAATCCACCTGTGGCGACATAGCAATCAATTTATACTTTTTTTTTTAATCTGGATTTGAGATTATGCGGATAACGCAGATTTAATCCTCACAATTTTAGATTTAGATATTAATCATGCGGGTAAACTCTTGACATTAAACTGAGTTGTCGAAGAATAGAGGTATCTTTCCAACCTTTCAGGGTCCTGGAAATGATATAAACCTAAAGTTGCGCTGTTTGGTGTTTAGGGCAAGGGAAGGCAAATTTATTTGTCTATAGTAAGTTTTTCACATAATCTGTGGTTTTAAAATGTAACGAGTGGAGACGTTTACGGGCTTCCAATCTTCTTTCTCTGGCTCCAAAAGCAAAAACCTGTTTTGTTCTTGTTCAGCAGCAGAAAATGTTGGTACATCCATTCTTTTAACTGCTCAATACATTTATTCATAGCCTGTTGAGGGCCAGAGTCATGTGATTTAGACCATGATGTATAATTGTGTGTCTGTGGAGCTGTGGTAACTTATTTTATTTTTCTCTATGATGAATGTTAAATAGCAGAGGCCTGAGGATGGAGCCTTGTAGAACTGCACGTGACACAAGATACTCTCTGGTTTCTAAATAGGACTTAAAACACTGAAGTACGACGTTAGAAAGTTACACCCAGTTCTTTAACCTTTGGAGTAGTATTTTATGATCGACTGTATCAAATGCAGCACTAAGATTCAGTAGGACTAACACTTTTTAGGGGCTTGTAAGGTGGAAGGAGCCAGAGCACTGACCTGCGTTTTGATAGTCCTGTTGTGCCTGGTGATGTTAATATAATGCGGGTATCCATCCGCGAGGTTACGGCGAGTCAGCTCGTACTTGTGGGTGATGAGTCCCAATTTATACCTCAAATCCACGCTACCTGTGTGGAGAAAGTCAACAGATGGTTTAGAACGGCACATACACGACACGGTGAATGGCCTTGTGGCATGCGGTCCCTACCATCAGTCTTGAGTACGACGGCAATGTAGTCATGGACAAAGGAGCTGATGTAGAGCAGCACAGCCGGTTTGTAGATGGTGCTGAAGCTGAATTCTATGTCGTCCGCCGTGTCGTTATACCCCAGACTGAAATTGTCGTAATGCGGGTCAATCCAGTTAGCCCAAGCTGCTTCGTCCGATATTGGCTTCTTCCGCACATTGTACTTCAGCCAGGAGCCAAGCTCAAAGTAGGCGCCGATGTCTTAAAGGAGATCAACGTAAGAAGCGAATCATCGTTATGTCTCTCTCGATTTTGGACAAGTTGTCCCGAGGAACTCACCTTTATGGCAGTAGAACCCGTCAAATGCGGTGTTATTGCAGTCGCAGGTGTAGGAAGCGTAGCCCTCGATACACTGGCCGCTGTTACGGCAAGGTATGGTAGCATTGAGACACTGGCCGGTACAGTTCCTCCTGATCCCTTTTTCTTCATCAACTTTCCCTTCCAAATCCAGAGGAACACCGTTCAGCCGCAACCCTCGGAGGCAACCCAAGAAGGGTTTTTGAGTGCGGTTACGGGAACCTAATGTAAG